AAAAAAAAAAAAAAAAAAAAAAAGAACTTGTTAACTTTGGCTTGCTTGGCCCTGTGTGCATAGTGTCAGCATTATTTCCAGTTCTGATCCTTCAGAGAGTTTAACAACACTTCAATCTTCAAGACTGCATGAACTTTTGTTAATTCATCTCATAAATATTTATTAAGCACATACTGTTTCTGGTACTGCAAGAGGCATTTGGGTTGAACTATAGTGTATTCTTGGGTCTGAGACTATATTTCTACTTTCAGAAGAGTTTGAAAGACCTTCTAATTCCCAGCTTTTTTCTTACCCTCTTATGTCTCTTTTTATTTTTTAATATTCTTCTTGGAGAATTTAAAATTAACACAGTAATGTTAAGTGATAACAAATAAGTCTAGTGTGAGAAATAGTCAATCACAATTGCAAGGCAGAATTATGGAGGCAGTAATTCAAGTCCACACCAAGAAGTAAAGAGCACCAGTAAAGGTGAATACGTAGGTAAATATAAAAATAGTGTACATGTATTTATGTGTAATTATTTCTTATATCTAAATTAAAAGACACTTGCATAAAATAATAAAGATTCAGTTTATGATGTATAAAGATATAATTGAAAAGAAGGAAGAGGATGAATGTAGCTATATTGGAGCAAACATTTTGTATGTTATTGAAATTAAATTGGCATCAATGCAAATTAAAACCACACTGAGATTTCATCTCACTCCAGTCAGAATGGCAATCATCAAGAATACAAGTAAGAGTAAATGTTGATGAGAATGTGGGGGAAAATGTACACTCATATATTGCTGGTGGGACTGCAAATTGGTGCAACCACACTAGAAAGCAGTATGGAGATTCTTTAGAAAACTTGGAATGGAACCACTTTTTTGCCCCGTTATCCCACGCCTTGTTTTATACTCAAAGGACTTAAAATCAGCATACAACCGTGATTCAGCCACATCAATATTTATAGCAGTTCAACACACAATAGCTCAACTATGGAACCAACCTAGGAAACCTTCAACATATGAATGGATAAAGAAATTTGTTATATATACACATGGAATACTACTCAGCCATAAAGAAAAATGAAATTATGGAATTTGCCAGTAAATGGATGGAATTGGAGACTATCATGCTAAATGAAATAAGCCAATTCCCCAAAGCCTAAGGCCAAATGTTGTCTGTGATATGTGGATGCTATCTCACAATGAGGGAGTTAGGTAGGGAAGAATCAAAGTAACTTGGAAAAATCAAAGTAACAAAGGGGAAAGTAAGGAATGGAGGGCTAATGGGAATAGGAAAGATAGTAGAATGGATCAGACTTTTACTTTCCCATGTGCATATATTATGACCAATGCAATTCTACATCATGTACAACCAGAAGA